TCCTTTCTCACAGATAACCTCTATTTTCAGTTTGCTGATTACTTTTCCAGACCTTTTTCTATGCATCTACACACACAAATAGAGAGAAATGTTTGTGGTTTTATTGGAGGGAATGGGGCAGATTTACACACATGGCATCATGATCATTCTGCAACTTCTTTTTTTCACTTAACAACATATCCTGGAGATCTAGCCATGTGAGTATATATGGATCTACCTCATTCTATTAAACTGGTAAACACAATTCCATGGTATGGTAATTCCACAGTTTATTTAATTGCTCTGTTTGTAGAAATTTAGACTGTTTAAGTTGTTTTTCATTCCATAACCAAAGCTGCAGTGAACATGCTTTCTGTATGCTTCTCAGGAGCATGCGCAGCTGCTTCTCTAGGCTGCATACTTAAAGGTGGAACTGTTGGGTCATAAATCATTCACATCTAAAATTTTAATAGATACTGCCAAGTTTGCCCTCCAAAAAGTCTACATCAAGTTTCAGTCCCATCAACATGAATGAAATTACCTCGTGTTAGTGGATAATATACCATCTTTTTGTTTTTGCAGATCTGATGGATAAAAAATATTTCATTGTTTCATTTTGCATTTCTCTAATTACTGGGGAAGTTGCATGACCATCATTTCCTATGTTGATTGTACATTAGTATTTCCCCTTCTGTAAACTATTTATTTCTTATTAAATTGTAGAAGCTCTTTTTCCATTTTAGAAGAATCCTTTGTCTATTATTTAGGCTGCAAATATCTTCTCCCCATCTGTAGCTTGTTTTTACTTTTGTTTATGGTATCTTTCAATATAAAAGGGTTTTTTATTTTAATGAATTTAAATCCATCAGTCTTTTCTTCTATGACTTTTGAATTTTGCGTCACGATTGGAAAAGCCTTCTCTACCCCCAAAGTTATAAAAATATTCTCTGATGTTTTCTCCTTGTATTTTTAGAAATCTGTTTTTAGTCCAATGGGAATCTATTTTTGTGAATGGTGTTTGTGTGAGAGGGTCTCGTTTTATTTTTTTCCTAAATAGATGGCCTATTTTCCCAGCATCATCTCTTGAATAGTCCATTCTTCCCCTGCTGACTTACATATGCTAAATTTCCATATGAGCAGGAATCTGGTCTTAGACTGACTTTTCTGTTCCACTGCTCTTTTAGCTGTTCTGATGCCTTTACATCCTTACTTTCCATTCACTCAGCAATCACAGTAATCTGGCTTCTACCCACAGTTCCCCTCGAACTATTATTCTGAAATGTATTACTGACCTTCATATCACCAAACCCAATGAATATTTTTCAGTTCTGGTCTTCCTGGATACCACGTATCATTCCCTCCCATATGCTACATGATTTAGCTGTCCCTTGATTCTTCAATCAATAAAAATCATGATCATAATATCTTCAGTTTATGAGGCAGTAACTCTGTGCCAGGTGTTTGAGCATTTCACATTCCACACACGTCAAATGTGCTTCACCACAACTCTCTAAGGTAGGTGTTATTATTATTATTACCATCATCATCATCCCCATTTTACAGATGAGAAAACTGAGGCATAGAAAATGTAAATACCTTGTTCAAGATCCCTGGGCTAAAAAGACAGCAAGATGAAATTTCAAGCCAGGTCTGAGACCAAAGCCTAGGTTCCTAAGCACTCCCCTCTCCAGCCTGTCCTTCTCAGTCTCTCCCTTAAATCCCCTTTTCTCCAGCATCCTTTTTTATTTTTATTTTTATTTTTCGAGATGGAGTCTCACTCTGTCGTCTAGGCTGGAGAGACATGGCATGATCTCAGTTCACTGCAACCTCCGCCTTCCGGGTTCAAGCAATTCTTGTGCCTCAGCCTCCTGAGTAGCTGGGATTACAGGCACACACCACCATGCCCGGCTAATTTTTTGTATTTCTAGTAGAGACGGGGGTTTCACCATGTTGGCCAGGCTGGTCTTGAACTCCTGGCCTCAAGTGATCCACCCACCTCGGCCTTCCAAAGTGCTGGAATTACAGGCTTAAGCCACTGTGCCCTGCCTCCAGCATCATTTAAATTGTAGCTTTCCGCAGTATCCGGGCTTAGTCATTCCTCTTCCCAGTTTATGCATGTGCCCTTGTAAAGCGGGATATTCTAATGCCCTGTTTCAATGCAGTTTCACTGACATATCTATGCTAATATGGCCCTAACAGCATGAAGAAAACATTGCTTTTTATTATACATCCCTGGAGCTCACTCCACCCTTGCTCCTAGTGCAGTTTCAAGGAGGCTTTTCATTTCTACTTATTTGATTTATTATAAGTATGCATCACATTTATAATCAGGAAGAAACAATAGGGATATCTTAAAAATATAACGGAAGGAGATTTGCCTCTGAGGGGCAGTATCTGTTCAGTCCTCCCAAGCCATTATTATCAAGGCATTGTCCAATGTTAGATATGTTGAATGTATGTAACTGAAAGAATTGTAAGAAATGTAATTGAAGTTTCTGAGCCATCTGCAGCTGAGATTAAGCACTCATAATGTGGCCCAAATATCCTTTCTCCAAAGTTTAATTTATTCTCAACCAAACAAGATTAGCACAATAAGCACGCCTATAAAAAGCAGAGGTGGCCAGGCCCAGTGGCTCATGCCTGTAATCCCAGCAATTTAGGAGGCTGAGGCTGGGGGGCGGGGGAAATCACTTGAGGTCAGGAGTTCGAGACCAGCCTGGCCAACATGGTGAAACCCGGTCTCTATTAAAAATACAGAAAAATTAGCAGGGTGTGGTGGTGTGCAACTGAGTCCAGCTACTCTCGGGAGGCTGAAGCAGGAGAATCACTTGAACCCTGGAGGTGGAGATTGTAGTGAGCTGAGATTGTGCCACTGCACTCTAGCCTGGGTGAGAGTGTGTGACTCCAGCTCAAAAAAAAAAAAAAAAAGATGTCTTTTTTCTTTTTTCTAGATTTTCAAATGCAAAACAGAACTCAGTTCCATTATTAAGAAGCTACATATATTTATTCATTATAAGGAAGTGAGTGTGGCTGTTGTAGTAGCTTTAAGGGGGAAATAAAAGAATTTGACATAAAGTTCATCTAAGCAGCAAGAGAATCCTGAAAGGATGAGAAGACCCTCTGCTTAAAATGATGAATGGCCCTTTCTGAGATAAGCACATGTGATAACCATGTGACTTCTGGTTAAATGCAGATGGTACCTGACCTACCCCTTATCACGTCCCCATCTCTGAGCCTCACCTAGTCTTCACTCACATACATTCTCAACCCGCCACATCTTTTTGTTTGGTTTTGAGACAGAGTCTTGCTCCGCCGCCCAGCCTGGAGTACAGTGGTGCAATCTCAGCTCACTGCAACCTCTGCTTCCCAGGTTCAAGTGATTCTCCCGCCTCAGCCACCCGAGCAGCTGGAATTACAGGCACCCACCACCACACCCAGCTGATTTTTGTATTTTTAGTAGAGATGGGGTTTCATGATGTTGGCCAGGCTGGTCTCGCACTCCTGACTTCAAGGGATCTGCCCGCCTCAGCCTCCCAAAGTGCTGGGATTACAGGTGCAAGCCACCTTGCCTGGCACCCCAACATCTTTCCTGGACCCCTCCTACCTGTCTGCTTATTCCTGTTCAGTCCCTTTTCAGGATGTCTTTTCCTCCATCTATTGACTTAACATCCTGAGGTTTTTGTCTTTAGCCCAGTGTTCTTCTTACTTTACTCTGATCCCTGGGTGATTTTACATGTGTCCATGGTTGGAACATATCACCTCTACCTTGATAACCCAATCTATATTTCTAGCCTCTTCTGATCTCCATCTCTGTGTGTTCAACTGCCTACTGCTGAAGGTCATTGCGTATCTCAGTATTCCTCAGACAGATCAAACTTGACATGTCCAAAACAGAGCTGATTATTTTGAACCCTGGTTCTCTTATGGAACGCCATCACCAATGCCCACTCTACAAAGCCAGAAATTTGGGCCTCATTCTAGATTTCTCTTTACACTTCACAACCTCACACCAAGTCTCTATCAAGTCTTGTTGATATTTACCTACTCAGTATTCAGCAAATCTGTCTCCTCTTCCCTATCTCAGCACCTATTTTACCTCTTGCCTCGATCATAAAATCTTCTGTGATCTGGCACCTGCGTACCTCTTCAGCCTCATCTCCCCCTGTTTTTTCCCCAAGCTTACTCCAAATGCTAGCCCAGGGGCACAACCAGGTTTTTCCAGCCCTTATGCTTATGCAATTTGAAAGACTCTCTAAGGAAAATAATACAACGTAGTGATTGAACATTAGTTACAGAGCTTTGGAAGGGGCCTGTGCAATCTTCATTAGCTTCACAGTGACTCTGCCCTCTGTCTAGCCAAAGAGAGCAAGCTGCACTTCCCTAGAACGTACCAGAATCCTGCACATCACTTTGCCTTTATACAGGCAGTTAATTCTGCCTGAGATGCCCCTCTCTCCCTTCCCTTGTCTGTCTGGCAAAACAGTTCGTCCTTCAAGAATCAGCTCCGGAGGCACATCCTTTGTGAAGGCTTCCCTGACCTCCCTACGTAGAACTGACTGTTCTCGCCTTTGTGTTCTCGTTGTAACTTGTCGTTTATCTCTTTGTACCCTGTCCTTTACAGAACATCTTAAACTCTATGGAAATTATTTGCTTAAAACTGGTTTTGCCTGTGAGTGCCTCAAGGGCAGAGACTAAGCCATTCCTTTTTAGATGGTCAGAACTCCACAGTACCTGGCGCAAGGTGGGAGCTCAATAAAAGTTTGCCGCATGGAATTGAGACCTGACCCATGTATATTAGAAAGACACCCTTCTTTTGGCAAAGTGAGTGGAGTGGAACAGTTGCTGTAGACAGGGACACTGGACGGGGCCGATGCTTGGGAGGTACCTGCTGCTGCCCACACCATTCTGGGAGGACAGGCCCGGGCCTGGTAACCGTGCTGTCTTCAAGACCCACATGGTGAGTTCCTCTGTGCGGCCCTCTACCAACCTCTCCACCTTTGCCACCCCACCGCCTTCCTTACCTGTCCTCTTTGTTGATCTGGTCCCCAAAGCCAACTGTGCTAACGATCGTGAGCTTTAGCCTCACGTTGCTCTCTTGGAGGTCATAGGTATTAGACTGGAGCTGGACGCCCGGCTGTGTGTGGGTGGCTGGCTCCCCTTCGAACTTGGTGTTGAACAGGGTGTCCATGAGGGTGGACTTGCCCAAACCTGTCTCTCCTGAAAAGCAAAAGGATAAATTATGGTCTGTTCACATAGTAACTATTCAGCCCTTACACATCATGTCTCAGATACACATTTGTTGACATGGGAAAATGAACATGATAAAACATAAAGCAAAAAGCAGATAGAAGCAGATGAACTGTATGATCTCAGTTAAATGAAAAAGACTAACAGGAACGATACAGATGGATCAGTAGTAGTTATCTCAGATAGTAGAATTGAGGTAGTTTTCATTTTATTCTTCCAATTTTTTTTCTGTCATTTGGAAATTTTACCTTGAGTATACACTGCTTTTTTTTTTTTTTTGAGATGGAATCTTGCTCTGTCACCCAGGCTAGAGCGCAATGGCGCGATCTTGGCTCACTGCAACCTCTACCTCCCGGGTTCAAGTGATTCTCCTGCCTCAGCCTCCCAAGTAGCTGGGATTACAGGCGCCCACCACCATGCCCGGCTAATTTTTGTGTTTTTAGTAGAGATGGGGTTTCACCATCTTGGCCAGGCTGGTCTCAAGCTCCTGACCTTGTGATCCACCCGCCTCGGCTTCCCAAAGTGCTGGGATTACAAGCGTTAGCCACTGCACCTGGCCGAGTATACGTTGCTTTTATAGTCAGAAAAAGAAATTGTTATAGGCAGTGATGGAGAGGTATAGCTATGCCTAGAAAAAAAAGACTGGAAGGAAATACAATATACTCTTATCAATGGCTATCTCTGAGTGGTGACCTTATGTGTGGTTTTCATCCCTTTCTTTATGCTTTTCTATATTTCCCAAGTTTTCTAAATGGAATATATATAGTTTTTGTCATAAAAATTAAAGGAGTATTTTAATTTTTTTAAAAAAAGGACAGCAGTGGCCAGGCATGGTGGCTCACGCCTATAATCCCAGCACTTTGGAAGCCTGAAGCAGGCAGATCACTTGAGGTCAGGAGTTCAAGACCAGCCTGGCCAACATTGTGAAACCCTGTCTCTACCAAAAAAATATATTATACATACACAATTTAGCCAGGCATGGTGGCAGACGCCTGTAATCCCAGCTACTGAAAGGCTGAGGCAGGAGAATTACTTGAACCAGGGGAGGCGGAGATTGCAGTGAGCTGAGATCATGCCATTGCACTCCAGCCTGGGCAACAGAGTGAGACTCCATCTCAAAAAAAAAAAAAAAAAAAAAAACAGTGGTCCCTTGTCAAACAAATATCCTCTCATTCCAGTCCCCGCCTCTCCTCCCTGCCAAGCCTAAACAGCCCTCTGGGGATGCCCAGATGTGCCTCCCAGTGGTGAAAACTATGCAGGCTCCTGGCTTATCCTCCCATCCTGGTTGAATGGTTGAACTTTCGGTGAGACCATTTTTAACTAAGAGGGGTGGGGTGGGGAGACTTAGCAGGCCACAAAAATTCTTCTTCTTTTTTTTCTTTTTTTTTTTTTTTTGATAGAGCGTCTTGCTCTGTCACCCAGGCTGAGTGCAGTGGCGCAGTCTCGGCTCACTGCAGTCCCTGTCTCCCGGGTTCAAGTGATTCTCCTGCCTCAGCCTCCCAAGTAGCTGGGATTACAGGCGCCGGCCACCATGCCTGGCTAATGTTTGTATTTTTAGTCGAGATGAGGTTTCACCATGTTGGCTCGGCTGGTCTCAAGCTCCTGACCTCTGGTGACCCACCCGCCTCAGCCTCCCAAAGTGCTGGGATTACAGGCATGAGCCACCGCGCCTGACCCTTATCCTTAAATTTTAAACAAACTAGCCATTTATTTGTTTAACTACTAGGCTGCGAGATACTAATAAATCAAACCATTGGAATTTTTAAAGTCTTGAACTTCACACTGGGGAAACAAGTAGGGGAAGGGCTGTGGCAGACTGGTGAAGGTTTTGGGAGCTTATTCCTGGGAGATCAAGGGATAGCAAGCCACTGTCAGGAGCCAACGAGACTTCAGGGAATGGGACATCACAAGAAGTCTGGAGTTGGTGACAAGGGAGCTAAACAGGAATCTGATATGAGGCCACAAACTGGGCTGGGCACTAAAACTGCTTATAATCTCTACAGATCCAGGCTGTATTTGACCCCTGAGCCCACCCCAAGTGACTCAGGAATACCAGGAATTAAAGAGTCAGTAGAGAGGCGGGCACTACGAAAAGAGGATATCATTAATTACTCTGGCCTGCCCTTTGAAGACAAAGACTACCCTCCCGTTTATTCTGCTATCATCATCCCTGTTTTTCCCTCTCCTCTCCCCAGCCCAGGGGGGGTGTGAGCCTCGACTTCTCTTCACAGTCGGGACTGGGTTTGCATTGGGCAAATTGTGGCCTGCCAAATCCCACCTTGGGACCAAAAGCACACATCTGCAGGGTGGTTCAGGGCTAGGGTTAGAGCTACATGATGTAGAACTGAAAATGCTCCATCTTCCCTCCCCCTCTGGGTGTGTCTAGCCTGCTTCTTTTTTTTTTTTTTTTTTTTGAGACGGAGTCTTGCTCTGTCACCCAGGCTGGAGTACAGTGGCGTGATCTCGCATCACTGCAAGCTCTGCCTCCCGGGTTCATGCCATTCTCCTGCCTCAGCCTCCCGAGTAGCTGGGACTACAGGCGCCCGCCACCACGCCCAGCTAATTTTTTGTATTTTTAGTAGAGATGGGGTTTCACCGTGTTAGCCAGGATGGTCTTGATCCCCTGACCTCGTGATCTGCCCGTCTCGGCCTCCCAAAGTGTTGGGATTACAGGCGTGAGCCACCGCGCCCGGCCTAGCCTGCTTCTTTTATCCCAAATAATGAGCTATGAATGCAGGAGGTGCCTTTTAAAATATCTGTGTATGATGAGGGTTTTCTGTGTGTGGACAGAGAGAAGGGAAAGAAAGAGAGAAGAGATAAGAGACAGGAGGGAGACAGGGAGAGGAAGGGAGAACAAGCAGAACATTCAATTCAGTCTGGCTACCCGGCCCCCCAGCCCAATTTCATAGCCAGGTCTGACTAACTTGGTAAATTGCCAGAGTCTGGGGAAATGGTTCCTCACACAGATCATGTTTCAAACCAGGGTCTGCTATATCCATTAGCAGCAAAGACTCTTGAAGAAGAGGCCCCCTTTTTCCTCCCCTAAAGAAACAGGAAGTATTTGGGTCCCAAGAAGAATTTTATGAGGTGGGGCCTTTGCCATGGGAGGTGGCAGACTTGGCCAAGCAGTGGAATGTATCACACCCCACCTCACCCAAATTTGGGGTGCACCTTAACTGCAAACGGGGCCAGCACCTTAGAGGTAGGAGCACAGTGTGGCTCTCACATCCTAACTCACCTCCCCTCTCAAGGGCACTGAGGTTTGAGCTACAGTTTAACTCATCTTCTTGTGTGCCTGATGAATTTTCCATGTACATCCTTACCCCCAACTCCCTCCCATGGAACAGAAGGGAGCTCATGGAACAGAACCATCCTTACCCCCAACTCCCAAACCCTTCTGTTCCATGAGCTCCCTGCCGAATGCCCTGTAGCTCCTAGGGAGTGGGGGTCCTGTTTCCCTAGCACCCAGAGTGGGCACCCTGACTCCCCGATCCTAAGAATTCTCAGAGAGCAGGAGATGGGGCATCTTCCAGTACCCCCGGGAGTGCCTAACCCAAGGTTCACACCGAAGGCCTCAGGGGCAGCAGCGCAGCGTGAGGGACCCACCCTGTTTGCACAGCTGGAGGAATGGGGGCCGGGCAGGGCAGGACAGGGAGCTGGGAGGAACAGCAGGAGAAATGACCACCCAAACGCCTGCTGGCACAAAAGGGCTGTGGAAATTAGATGCCAAATAACGAACGTCTGGAAAAAAAGAACACCCGGGTGTCTAGGGAACTGAGATAAATGCAATAGTAGAGAGGGCAGAAAACCAAGTGAGCTCGTCCTATGGCTATCGAGAGCTCCTGTTCCAGTTTTCCATCAGTGTGGAGCCTGGGGGTCGGGGAGCCTTCCTCTCAATGACTGGCACAGACCCAGCCTGAGCCGAGGATGCTGCCCCTCCCACAGCTGCCCTGGGTCCAGTACTGAGTGTGAGTGTGTTGTGAGGGGGAGGCACACATGACCTAACTGGGATCGGGTCAGCAGATTCCACGCCCCTGCAGGAAGGTGGGGACTTGGCAATTAGATTCCAGCAGGAAACCTGAGGAGTCCCGAGGGGTCAATTTCTCACTCCTCTTCCCCCAGCCCTCCCAGAGCTCCTCCAAGTGGATAGTAAGGTTTTTAATGCATGCTCCACCAGCCAAGAGGCTTTCATCTCACTTTGCTTAATGTAGATAGTATTCTAGAAACAACAGTTTTAAAAACATTTTTAAACATATATGAGTACTATGAAATATGTTTTTTTCAAACTATACTCTTGCAGGGCACGGTGGCTCAGGCCTGTAATCCCAGCACTTTGCGAAGTCGAGGCGGGTAGATCACCTGAGGTCAGGAGTTGGAGACCAGCCTGGCCAACATGGTGAAACCCTGGCTCTACTAAAAATACAAAAATTAGCCGGGCATGGTGGCGGGCTCCTGTAATCCCAGCTACTCGGGAGGCTGAGGGTGGAGAATCGTTAGAACCCGAGAAGCAGAGGTTGCAGTGAGCCAAGATCTCACCACTACACTCCAGTCTGGGTGACAGAGCGAGACCCCATCTAAGAAAGAAAGGAAAGAGAGAGAGAGCGAGAGCGAGAGCAAGAGAGAGAGACAGAAAGAGAGAGAAAAAGAAAAGACTTCTAGCCAGGTTATTGCTAAGTTACTGTGTGACATGAACTGAGCCCTTTCCCCTCTCTGGGTCCCAGTCTCTTTTTCTATAAAATGAGAGGGTTGGTAATAACGGCTATTGTTTACAGTCACTGCTGTAAGTTTTTTACATATATTTTCTTGTTTATTCCTCACAGCAAGCCTATGAGGTAGATGTTACTATTTGTCCTCAATTTATAGATGGGTTAACCAAGCCACTTACTAGCTCTGTTAATTTGCACCAGTTCCTCAGCATCTCTGCTCCTTACTTTCCTCATCTATAAAATGTGGAGGGGCCTGGCACGGTG